TGCCCCTTTCACCAGACTGTCCCTTATCACCCGCCTTCATGGTACTGCAAGGGTTGATTCTGTGCTGCGACACCGCGCCGCTTTCCTCACCAAGAACAACTAACAAGGATACGCGTGAAACATGAGCTGGCGCCGCAATGGATACCAGCGCGGCCGCGGCAGTCGAAACACTGGCCAGGGGTAATTTCTTGCCCTAGCATGTGCACCATACCCCGTTGCTCTGCTAACTCCGCCCCCCTCCAGGTCACCACAGACAGGGCGCGACGACTCCAGCGAACGCGCGCCCAGCCAATAAGGGGGGGGAGGGGAGGGAGAACTGCAGCTAAGAGTTCAGAGGGAAGTCGAAGGGTGCGAGATCCTCCCTAGTAGCAGCGCCGTCGCCTGAAGAAGGCACCCCGGCCGCCTCGGGCAGCCGAGATCAGGCTGCTTGGAACAGCTGCGCCGCTATAAAAACGCACAACTCCGAGCTGTACTGCTCGGCTTGCGCTGCTCGGAGGTCCTCGACCAAGCCGTCGCTGGCAGCTCCGCGCGGGCTGCTGCTTGAGCTGTCCCTGTGGGAATAGCGCCCCCCGCGCGGGAGGCCGGACAGAGCCTGGCGAAACGAGGGCTGGCCGACCAGTAAGAACTGGGTGGGTTCGACCGCGGTCGCCGCGAACTCGCACTGATCGACCCAAACAAAATCCAAGTTACCGCTGGGGTCTTGCCTGCCCAGGGCACGCAGATGAACTGTCTCCGGCAGAAACCAGCTGGAGGGGGCCAGGGGGTCCGAAGGAGGCGCGGGGTGTGCAAAAGTGCCGGCCGCTCCAAAGATGCAGCAGGCATACATGAAAGTCAGAGTCGACCTGTACAGCGCGTTGACCAGGTCGAGTTGTTTTCACTCAGCCGCGGAGCCCGTGGCCCCCCCCCAGACATTACTGATGGATCTAACAGGGCGGGGCCCGCTCTGCCTTCTTGGAAAACAGGGCCGAGCTGCCAGCCACGTCGCGCGTGGCGGGCCCGCGAACGCACCAATCGCGTGCCCATCCTTGATGAGGTCTCAGAACAAAGATATGGAACGTGAGTTGGACATGCTCTCTTGGATCTCATCACTGGCCACTGGCAGGCTAAGCATGACCATAGGGGCGCCGGCGGCCGAAACGAAACCCTCAAAATCGCCTTGGACATCTCCCGGGCGGCGCGGGCCGCAAAACAGGTGAAACACGTAGAAAACCATGCGACGCACTCGGGATGTCGGAGCGTGGCGGGTGGAAGGGAAGGCGCTCTGTGTGGGCCACTGTTGGGGCTGGGATGCGCGTGGGGGCCCACAAGTGGCTTGGTGGTGGCGGGGGCAAAGCAGGGCCGTAGACTTCAAGCGGGGGGGTCTGGGTGGATGTGGGGCGAAACCCAATGGCGCTGAAGGCGACGGCCTCCACGTGGTCCTGCTACCGGAGAGCTTCCCTTTCTTCCGCTGGCAGGAACCGCCCCCATTGGATCAGTCCTTGGAAACAAGTTTCCGTCGGTGCCTCCTCCTCCTCCTAGTTCTCGTCCTCGTCCTAGTGCCCTTTCTCCTCTTCCTTCTCCTCCTGCCCCTCCTTACTGCGGCTCGGCACAAGATCACGAGCGCGCAGAGAGGCAAGCGAAACCACACCGCAGACGGGGGGGGGCGCCGCGACAGCTCCAGGAGCGCGCGGAGCAGCCGCGCGCCACCTCCCGGCGTGCCGCCGCGACGGCAGCGGCGGGTGCGGCACGGCAGCGCCCGCGGCAGCGGCCACCGAGCGGCAACAGCGAGCGCAGCGTCCGCGGCAGCGCCCGTGGCAGCGAGGCCGCGGCGAGTGCAGCGCGGCAGCGCCCGCGGCAGCGCCCGCGGCAGCGGCCGCAGATCGACAGCGGCGACGTGCAGCGGGGCAGCGCCGGCGGCAGGTGTGGCGCAGCGGCAGCGGCGAGTGCAGCACCTGCGGCAGCGGCGGCAACGAGGCGGCGGCAGGGCGCATTGGAGACGAGTCCGAAAGGCAACCCCTGCAGGAGGCCGTGGCTTTCCAGATGCCTTTGCGACAACATATGGGCGCGGGCCATCCCCTCGCAGAGGCCTGCCTCGAACGCCCCCCGCGTGGCCCATCATGAAATACAGTTGAGGCCAGTCCACACACAAGAAACCCAACCCTGAGACCCCAGGACGTCCATCGATGTTTGGTGTGGGAACGTCGCGCCTTCCATCGCAAAATCGTCGAAACCCAAGAAACCCTGGGCACCCTGGAGCAAGCTGGGTGTTTCTTGGCATGGGCCCCCACTGTAGGCCGCGGACGGGAGGGGGGGGGGCGTGGGGGGGGTGCTAGAGGCTCTCTTGGGGCCCTGCTTAACAAAAACCAGCGCGTGGGGTGGAGGCGCCCGTGGCCGTCTTTTGGGGCGAGGGGGGCCCCCTCCAAGCAGGGGGGGGGATATACGACGACTTTCTCAACTTTCTCAGATGGGGGGGGGGATGGGGGGGCGCCGCGTCGCACTTCAGGAGCACGTGGGCGGGCGGCGGGCGGGCGGCGGCGGGGGCGGCGGGGGGGTTCGCACGTATCCGCGCTCGCCCTCTCCTCCGCCCCTTCCCCCCTCCTCTCCGCCGCGTTCCCCCTGGGCTCGCGCCCCGCGCTTGCCACCCCCAGGCCAAAGGCAAGGGGGCGAAAGAAAGTGCGCAGGCAGAGAAGCGAAGGGGAGGAGGCGCGACGGGGAGACAGGATGGAAGAGAAGGGAGGAGGAGAGCCTCTGCCACGGGCCCGAAGGAGCGCAGGGCGGAAGAGAGGAGATGGGACAGACAGCAGACAGACGGGAGTCGACGGGGCGGAATAGCAGGGCGGCACAGGACGCGAAGGGACAAGTCGAGGGAGGAAGAAGCGAGGGGCCAGGGGGGACCAGCAGAAATCTTCTCTGGCGCATGTTATCTCCGCGCTACCATATAACGCAGAATCCCAGGGCTCGACTTCTGCAGTTTAGATTACTGTTGCAAAAACTTGGTTCGACTCTTGTTGCGGGAGTCGGGGTGTCCTCTGGGGGCCTTCTGGTGCCGTAGTGTTCTGTCATATCTCGTTTTTCCCTTTCGCGTTGTCCTGATTCAGCCCATGTGCTTGCACTTGGAATGCCACCGTGCGCTGATCGCACCACCCCCCCGGGGCCCTCTCGTCGCAAGGCCCCTCAATTAGTGTCGTGAGATGCCCATGGCGCTGTCTCTCCTGGCCCATCCGTCGCAATGCCCCATGGGATTGTCTGACCCTTGATCCACTGTCGCCATGCCAGTGCGGCTTCCCACCGCAGTCGAATTCCGCAGCCGAATCGCTCTCCCTTTCTCTCTCTCGCTTTCTTTCTCTCCTGTTCCTGCGTCTCGTGCCTTCACTCCGCGTAGCTTGCTGCCTCGTCTCCACTTCTTCTTAATCTCCAGGTCTGCCCATGTTGTCCTTCTTCTGCGCGTGCTACCCCTTCGAGTCCTGGGTGGTGTGAACGAGCCCGAATGGAGAAGGTCTTGAGCCTCGTGGTTACAGACTGCAAATGGCAGTGCTGAAGGTTCTTGCAAGGAGTGCCCCCAGCAGCTGTAGCCCTTGTAACGCATTCCGCTGTCCTTCCTAGCTCTGTACGCGCGGCTATCCTCGTCCCGAATGCTCTGGGACACCATGGGTGCTAGCTCGTCACTACGGGGCTAGGCACGAGAGGGGCGCATGTGTGCATTTCTCTTCTGTGGGTCGCCAGGGCCGCTGCTGTCCCATACTCTTGTCCACGTGCCCCTCCTCCCTCCGTCTCCAAATCGCACTAGCATTCTTCTAGTAATGGTTCCTCCTCTGCAGCTCCAAGTGCTTCCTCGAGCCAGACAATTGCTACGCACTGTCGCAGTCCTGCATGTGCCCCTATCCATCATTCCCACTCTCTGGTGCCTGCTGGGAACATCGTTGTGTCATTGCTACGTTTTTTTTCGAACCAAGACTCCACGTCCTTGCTGGTTCCTGGTACCATGAAATTCTCCAAGACCTACTTGGTCCAAGGCGCGGAAATTGAGCAAACCCATCCGTCAATACGCCGTTGCGTTCCACATTCCGCGTCCAAGCCTACATGTCCCAAACACAGATGTCAACAGAAGTCCGTCGTCTCCTGGGTGGAGTGCCCATTCTCGGTGCCACCAGAGTCACCGCATCCGAAGTGCAACTGCTGATCTTTCCAGACCCTATTGTCTGACGACGTGTTTGGTACTGTGGCATCTCGTTTCTCCGTCGTCGCTTGTCCAGCTGATTCTCCCACTGGACAATTGTTCGTTGGAGTCCTCACATGATTATGTCCAGTGTGTTGGTGTATCTGTCGTGGAGAACGAACGTAGCCAGCCCAGTCAATCCGGCTACCTGCACACATGCACTCAGCATGTTGGTATTGGCGTTTCTGCTGTCTCTGATCCCCCAAAGCCCGCACGCTGTCTCCAAGCAACTTCCATCGCTTCACATATTATCTGCAGTTCTCCTCCAATCCCCTGATAACGCGGCTTGTACGTTCCTGGTGCTCGCATCTCTCGCATGGGGGCACCTACCAATGTCTTCATCCGTCGCGGCTGAATGGTAGTCTTCACACTTCCCGCGCCCCTCAGGCAAAGGAGATGTCTTTCTTCTGTCCTGGGTTATGATTCTACCCTCCGTTGTTTAGAGTGTGTTCAAATCGTTCAGTCGTTTCGTTGAGCTCCTTCGAGATGTCGTGTTTCTGGTTCAATTCGGATCGAATTCGTACGTGTTATACAATCCACGACTGTACGCACTGCCAAGTCTTACTCGTCCCCTGTAATCGAGTTTTCGCATCGTGCAGGGCTTGGCCATCGTCGATGTCTCTCTCTCTCTCTCTCTCTCTTTCTCGCTCTCTGCTTTCCTTGGGCATGTATCGATGACCCGTGATGGGCACAACGTGCAACCCATCTGCGCCCCCTGAGTCGTGAGTGCATGCGTCCACCGGTCTGCATACTCCATACTCACATTCGCGCAACGGCTGGTTTGCACTGCGCAAGGTGTGGTTTTCTCCGCTGATGTTGCCCACACTGCAGCTGCTAGTAGATGCCTCTTCGCGCTGGCAAGCGCATTCCCATAGTCGCGATTACGGTGTATGGAGGCGGAGGAGGACGACGACGGCGAGCACGACGTCGACGACGCGCGGCTGGTGGGTGAGCCGCGCTGTCGCTGGAGGGTAGAGGTGATAATAAGGATATGGAGGGGCAGCAGGAAGGCTGACGAGAAGGAGGGGGAGAGAGGGGAGGATGAGGACGGGCGAGGAAGGATGAAGACGAGAATGAGGGGGGAGGATGAAGGAGGGAGGGAGGGAGGAGGAGGACGAACAGGAAGAGGAGGAGGAGGGCGAGTCGGGGCAAGGAGGGGCGGGCACAGGTGGTTGGAGGGGGGAGGAGAATGGATAAAGCAAGCTTGGTGCACTCGCGCCATGTTTGAGATCCGATCCCTCCTTCCCGTCCCTCTCCGTTGCACTGCTTTGCTTTCCTTATCCGTGGACGCGTGGCAAACCCGACCTGAAACAAGCCATTGTGTGATACGACCTTGGAGCTGCGCACCTACCAGGAGGAGGTGGCGGGTGGGCACGGGGACACGCAGGAGGAGAAGGCGAAGGATGAAGAAGGCTGACGAGGACCTGACAGCAGCAGCGGAAACTGGAGTGGAAGGAGTGGGAGGAGCAGCTGGACCAGGGAGAACGGGGGAACGAGGGGGGCGACAAAGATGAAAAAAGACTCGGATCCAGAAAGGTGGCCCACGCCGGGGCGAGAGCGCCCCCAAGAACGATCCGAAAATCAGGCCCACGCTGCAGCGGGAATACCATTCTGGAGCACCTGCAACAATCGGATTGTAAAACATCGGGTGTCACAAAAAACAGCTAGGCCCATTTCCGCGGTCAAGACACAGTACGTGGAGGGGGGGGGGCGGAGATCCTCTTCACAGACTCCCGGGAGAGATCAGAGGAGTATTCGTATCTGTGTGGGGGCAGGGGAGGCGAGAGACGGAGCAGGAGAAGATGGCATCCTCCCCCTCGCCGCGCCGCCCTCGGACAGCGCCGTGCAAGAGCCCGCGGCTGGGGCGAGCGAATTAGCGAACGGCCAGGACTACGTGCACACTGCCAGGGCCTACGTGCAGCCGACGTCGTGCGCGAATTGGGCGTGCAAGCTGGGCGCAATCTTCCCCAAACCTCCGCTTGTAGAGCCCACCTCCACTAATGACTAATCCTGTCGGACCTCCGCCCGATGTACTCGAGGCAGCTATGAGCTGCTTGGGACAGTTCCACCCGCGCCCGATTGCGCCTGACACATAACGTGGCAATACCATGCTTACGAAATGGCATCTCTACGCGATAACGCGATACGTAATTAGAACCAGGCCTTTAATCGGACGTCCCGAAATCCCTCCGACGTGTTGACGCTTCAGCCTCCGGATGCAATTTCTGTCGGACCCCTCGACGATGAAAATGCGGCCCGTGGCGGAAATCCGTCCTGGCGCCCGCGGTGTGAAACAGTCAAGGCGTCGGAGGTCTGGGATTGACGAGGATTGACTGCGACTCACCACCGTGGTCCTGCCCCTCTCAAGGAAGGATCCCGACAGGAAGAATCCGACATGCGACGCTCGACGTGCGAGGCACGACGCGTTGATGCGCAGCTTCTCGGCGGCGCCCAGAAAAAAGGGCTCGAGGCGAGGGGGCGGCCTTCGGAGGAAGTGAGGCAGGGGGGCCCTTTGTAGAAGGACGCTGCTCCCTTCCCCCCCCCCCCCTCCTCCTCCTCCCCTCCTCCTCCTCCTCCTCCTCCTCCTGCTCCTCCTCCTCCCTCTCCTCCTCCTCCTCCTCCTCCTCCTCCTCCTCCTCCCTCCCTCCTTCCTCCTCCTCTCTGCTCCTCCTCCCTGCTCCCTCTCCTCCTCCTCCTCCCTCCTTCTCCTCCTCCCCCCTCCTCCTCCTCCTCCTCCTTTCCTCCTCCTCTCCTCCCTATCCTCCCCTCCTCCTCCTCCTCCTCCTCCTCCTCCTCCTCCCTCCTCCTCCTCCTCCTCCTCCTCCTCCTCCCTCCTCCCCCTCCCCCTCCCCCTCCCCATCCTCCTCCTCTCCCTCCTCCTCCTCCTCCTCCTCCTCCTCCTCCTCCTGTTTCCGAGGAAGCTCCCTCGAAGGGAGCAGGGCCTCGATGAGGCGCGCTGTCTTCTTGCAGGTACCGCCCCCCTCGCCATGCCATCCTGGCCAGCAACTGGTGACCGCCCTGCTTCTTCCCGATGCGCCGCCAGGAAGCCACAGAGCGAAGGCACGGCTTGCATTATGTTGCTCCCATCGTTATACATATATATATACATATATATATATATATATATATATGTTTCGTATTGCTTGTTTCACCGTGTTTATCATTGTTAATCGCTTGCTTATCGTTTCTTTTCTCGCTCTTTACAGAAAAAGGACCCCGTATCAGAAAACAAAAACGAGCACTCAGAAACGTATCAAAGCAGTGTCGAACGAGTATCGCCTCAGGGCCCGACGCGCGAAAACCTTCCAGTTTCGGTAGTTTCGTGGTGCTCGAACCTCCTTCTGGTGATCAAGGCTACAGTAGGTTGGAACATCATAAGGCTTGCGCCGCTGGTACTCACGGTCGGGAGCGTTTGCTTAGCGTGTCGCCACAGCGGCACTGGTGACACGCTATGCCCTGTGAGCGGATAGCGTGTCGCTCCGCTCCGCGGGGCGGGAGGCCGGTGAAGGCTCGAGACACTTTACGCTTGGGGGCTCAGATGTGGATAGCGCGTCGCGCCGAAGCGTGGTGGGCAAGAATTGGCGGAGCGACACGCTATCCAGAGGTTCCGCGACCGCAGAAAGGGCCAAACCACCACGGCGCCATCGTGCAGCAGGGCGCTCAGCTAGAACGGCCGTCGCACAGACGCAAGCAACCAAAGCATCGTTGTCACCCTTCTGCTGCTGCCCCACCTCCTCGCCCTGCTCCTCCCGCTGCTCCGGGCGCCTCCTGCGCCTGCTTGTCCTCCCGTCTCTCCTTCGAATCATCTCCCTGCTCCTCCTCCTCCTCCTCCTCCTCCTCCTCCACCTCCTCCTCTTTCCCATCATCACCATCATCATCACCACCACCATCATCGTATTCCTCCTCCTCCTCCTCCTCACCATCATCATCATCCTCCTTCTTATCATCATCACCTTCAGCATCACCGTCGTGATCATCACCAGCATCATCATCATCAGCAGCATCAACATATGCTCGTCTCATTATTGTAAATGCTCTTCTTCTACATCACCGTTCTCTTTTCTTCATTAGCATCACCATCATCTTATCAGCAGCATCAGCATCAGCATCAGCATCAGCATCAGCATCAGTATCAGCATCGGTATCAGCATCAACGTCATCATCACCATCATCAGCAGCAGCACCACCATCAGCAGCATCCTAATCGTCACCACCTGATACTCTTGCTGCCACTGGGAGCGCCCTGTGTCGGAGGAAGGCCACTTGAGACAACGGCGGCCTTGCCGCCTAGGCCAAAGCTCTCTCAAAATCGGTCCCACGGACCCCTTCAGGGGTCCGTCCCGGCCCGTTGCTCAAGGCGGAACCAGCACCGGCGACGATGAGCCTGCATACAGGGCCCAGGACCAACGGAAAATGCAAGGGAGGGCCGCCGATGTCTCGACTGGACTCCTCCGACCTTCTCTCAGTCATGCTCCGCCGAACGACGACACCTGAGCGCCACTGCGGACGAGCGTCTGGACGCCGCCTGCGCAGCCGGGCCCCCTGGAGCCGCGCGGGGCCCCGCGGGGGCTGCGGCCGCTGCACGGGCCCGCCGCCGCCAGGTCCTGGGAGCACGGCAGCAGCCAAGAGGGGGTCCTCCTCGTGCCGTGGCCCCTGCCCCTCCCCACTCGAGGCACCCCCTGTGACCCATGGCCCAGCTCGGGGGGGCATCGTGAAGTCTCCTCGGCGGAGGTGGCACCCCTGGTGGTGGTGGCGTCGCCTGTCCTTACCCCTCCCCTCCTCCCCCTCCCCTCCCCCCCCTCCTCCTCCCTCCTCCTCCTCCTCCTCCTCCTCCTCCTCCTCCTCCTCCTCCTCCTCCTCCTCCTCCTCTTCCGTCCGTAGCCATTTTGGCTCAAGCCATTTTGGCTCAAGCCGGTCTCGAGCCCCCAGCTTCCCGCATGCCCCGCGCATGTCCGGACTGTGTGCTGCCGCTTGTGAAGAATGGTGACGGGAGCCCCCCTCCGTGGGGCAGCCGGGGCGCGCGCCTCGGCGGACCGGCTCGTGGCTAAGCTACAGGCCGAGGTCCAGCTGGTCAAGGACCAGCATCAGCAGCTTCTGGACTCGTTCAGCCTCGTCTTCAGTGACCCCGACCTCGCCGACAGGGTCCTGGCCATCGTGCCAGCCTTGGGCGCGTTGTTGGCTGGCCGAGCTCCTTCCCACGTCGACGTCCTCTGCAGGAACCTGGCGCTTCACGCTGTTGCACCTGGTTGCCGTCTGTCCACAGCTCCTGCTGACCTTCTTCGTGCTCATCAGAAGGGGCCCCGCCTGGATGGGCGTGCTTTCGAGGCTGGTGACCGTGTGCAGCCCAAGTTCGTCTGGAACGTGGAGGCCCCAGTGTTTGTCCCGTGGCGCGCGCCAGGCTGTTGGGAGTCGCCCTCGTCGCATGGTTCTGTGGGCGAGGACGTCGAGCTGCAGCTGGTCCCCCTCTCCGAGGAGCCGTGCGTGCCGCAGGTGGTATCGGGGTCGCCGCTGCCTGCTGCGGACATGGATGCGGACAGCTGCGCTGGAGACGCTGCTGGGTTTTTCCCGTCCGCCTGTCGAGCTTTGTCATCAGGGGCTTCGGCCATCGCGTCTTCTTCCTGGGTGCCGTGCAGGCTTCCTGCTGATCCTGGAGAAGGCCGCCTTTTCGCCGCTTGCCACCTCGATCAAAGTGTCGGTTCTATGACATTCTTATGCGCGTCTGACTCCGACGACAGCGACGACATTCTGACTGTCACGCATAAGTGTGGGTGACACGGCTGTATGGCGGTTCTGTTCTTGAATGTTGGTTCCGGACTGGAGTTGGCTCTCCTTTTTTAGCATCTTCTGTACGGGGCTTCCTGACGCATTCCGTGACGATGTGTTGTATGTGGCTTACTGGTCGATCCGTGGCATGTTTCATTTCAAGCTGGGGGTAGCAATTACGAGATGGTATGTCAGCCTGGGCGTGGTATCCTTCACTTTGCTCGGTCAATATTTTGTTCGTGGAGCCGCAGCACGTCGCACTGTTCATGTGGGCCATCGTCGTGTTTTTCGCCACGGCCTTCCTGTGCAGTGCACTCTTCTGTGGCCTGGGCGTTGCCGTCAAATTACAAATCCTCCTCCTCCTCCTCCTCCTCCTCCTCCTCCTCCTTCTCTCCTCCCCCCCTAGGATCCAGGCCCGCCGACGCCACGCGCGCGGCCGAAGAACACCGCGACGCCGCGCGAGGCGGCGCGGCCGCCGCCGCGTCGGCGCGGCGGTGCGTCCCCAGCAGCCGCCTCTCGAGGCTGCGGTACTCGGCGATGGCCGCGTTCAGCGACGCCGCGCGCGCGTCCAGGGCGGCGCGCGCCTCGGCGAGCCCCTCGGCGGGCCCCCGGTGCGGCGCAGCGCCGTCGCTTCGGCGGCCGCGGCGCACGTCGCTCCGCCAGCGGTGGCGCTCGTCCTCGAGCTCGGCGGCCTCGCGGCGCAGCTCGCGCCGCCGCGCGCGGAGGGCCTCCGTGATCGCGGGGTCCGCGGCGGGGCTCTCGGGCGCGGCGGCTGGCGGGCCGGCGTCCGCCAGCCGCTCGAGGGCGGCGGCTGCCGCGGAGGTCTGACACGCCGCGTCGTGCGGCCGGCACGCAGCCGCCTCCTCGTCGCTGCCCAGCTCTAGCAGCTCGTCGCGGAGCGACAGCGTCGAGGAGGCAGAACCGTGCGCGTCGCCGGCCGCCTGCACGGGCCCAGGGTTGCTTCGCTTGCTTGCCGCAGCGGGGCCCTGACCTCTGCCGGCCGCGGCACCCGGAGGCGCGGAGCTTTCGCGCCGTGCCCCCAAGCCGCTCGCGTCCGACGTCAGCCTGCTGCGCCGCCGCGCGGTGGTCGGCTGCTCCGCACTGCAGACCCCGGCACGGCCTGTATTGCCGCCGCATGCTGCAGCGAACGATGGCGGGGGCGGTGACGCCCACGAGCCAGACGTCGCCGGCGCGCCCCGCGCTCGCCGCGGCGCCTCGGGGCCTGCGCAGCCCGCCTCAGACAGTGCCCGTCGCAAGCCGCCCAGCTCCAGCTGGTGCTCGCTGGCACGCAGCTCGCGCGCGCGGCTGTGCAAGCGCACCTCGGCCTCCGCAGCGAGGCGCTCCTTCTCCTGCAGGAAGCGTTCCCAGTCCGCGAGCATCTGCTCGCGCTGCTGGAGCTCCAGGCGCTTCTGCTGCGCCCCTTCTTCGCCCAGGCGCGCCTGCGTGGCGCGCTCGGCGCGCAGCTGTGCGAGCTCAGAGTCCTTGGCGTGCAGCTGCAGCTGCAGCCTGCGCCGCTCCTCCTCGCGCCCCTCGAGCTCGGCGTGCGCACGGCGGGCCTCCACCCCCGCGTGCTCGGCCTCGACCTCCTTGTGCCTCAGCTCGCCCTGCAGCCGGATGACGTCCCGCTGGGCCTCTCGCAAGGCCGTCCTGGTGGCACAGTGCTCGGCCCGCTCCCTCTGCAGCGCCAAGCCGCTCTCGTGCAGGCGCCGCTCCGCGCATGCCGCGGCGGCCTCGGCGACGTCCTCGGCTGCCACTGGGGCCCCGCCCACCTTCAGCTCGCCGAGCTGCACCTTTGGCTTCGCGACGGGCCCGTCCAGCCGGGTGCCCTCCACGGCCTGCACGCGAGCGGCCAGCACGCCCAGCTGCTTCTGCAGCTGCTCGACCAGGCGCGCGGCGTCAGCCCCCCCGTCGCCGCCGCTGCCGCCCCAGCGCTGCCGCAGCGTCTCCGCCCCCGCGCCGAGGCCCTCGGGCAGCGTGCCCGACGCACCCAGGCCTTGAGCATCCAGCTCCCCGCGCTTGAGCGTCCCCTCCAGCGCGGCCTCCTCTCCCCTCGCTGCCGCCGCTCGCTTCTCACCGTCCTCACCTGCCGGCTACACACAAGAGTGACCCCACAGAGGCCTCCTAGATGGGGTCGGAGGATCGCGCCTCATCGCCGATACATCGACGATGCACCAGCGATGCACCGGCGATGCATCGTCGACGTGTGCGATGCATCGGCGACGTCGACGTGAAGCAAATCGGGCTCCACATCGAGCCGCATCGGCGATGCATCGGCGATGCGGCGCGATCCTCCGACCCCATCCACTCGGACCCCATCCAGGAGGCCTAGATCCCAGGCAAGAGTGATCAGTGGTGCGCGGCTTGAGTGGACCGCTGGGATACCAACTCCAAGCGCGCAGGCCAGTGCTGGGGAGGGCCCGTGGGCCCGCACCAGAGGTCACTCCGGCGAAGGGACACTCTCAAGACATAGCGGAACCTGCGCCGACTGCTAACGCCAACGCCGCCAGCCGGCCCGCGAGCGGAGGCTTCGAGGCGTCAGCCTCCATGTGGCCGCGGTCGCGGCCGCTGGCCGTCGAGCCATGCCCTGCGTGCGGCTGTTCGACGACTGCACGTCGCGAGTCGCCAGCGCAGTGCCGCGGCGAGGGCGACTGCTCTGCGATTGCGCTGAGGGACGACAACTCCAGCGAATAAGTGGCCGGTGCTGCGGACGCCGTTCGCGGGCTGCTGGCCTTCTGATCGGCTGGAGGCTCGCCAGCGTCGAGCTGCGACCAGAGCTGACTGAGGTTGTCCTTCGAGTTCTCCTGCTTCAGCTCCGCGGCGAGCACCGAAACCAGCTGAGGCGTCTCCGGGCTTGTGAGCTCGAGCAGCTTCAGCGGGTCCTCCTCGAGATCTGGAGGCTTCTCGGCGCATGCCACTGCGGCCTGCCGGAAAGCCTCTGGGAGGGGTGGCCGGGGGCTCCGCGTGGCCGCCACAGCACCAGCAGTGGGCGTGAGCGGGCTGAGCGCGGTGGCCTCCACGCTCGTGGTCGCATCGCAATCGTGCTCGACGGCCGGCGGAGAAGCGCCCTGAGGGCCGGCTCCGCCCAGCGCGCCGTCCTGCGCCACCGCCGCCGGCGGGCCACTCGGCGCGGCGTCTGAGCCCCCGGGGGACGGTGAGCCACCCTGCACGCCGCGCCCAGGCTCGGGGCTTCCTGGGCTGGCAGGGGCTCTGGCTGCGGGCTGCGCCGCCGGCGCGGCGGCCGGGGCTGCCAGCAGGGCGGGGGGCGGTGGCACCACGTCCGTCGCCGCCGGCTTCGCCTGCTGCTGTTCCCACGCTTCGGCGCCCGTGGGGGCGGCCGCAGCGACGGGGGCGGCAGGAGTCGCAGTGGGTGCCGACGGCGGCTGCTGCGCGTCGGCGTCGGGCCAGTCGGGGATGCCCTCGAGCAGGTGGAGCAGCGCGGCGGCCTCGGAGCTCGCCTGCGAGCCAGTGGGGCTGTTGTCTGGCAGCGGAAGCTCGAGTGGCTGGTCCAACTGGTTCTTCGAGGAGCTGCGCTGCATAGACAGCGGGGGCAGCAGGCTCAGGGCAGGCAGTCCCGCGGCGCCGCCGCCGCCGCCGAGCGGGGTGAGCAGTGGTGGCTTGCCGCTGGACCGCGGGGTGAGCAGCGGCGGCTTGCTGGTGGCCGCGGAAGCTGCGCTGCTGGGTGTCTCCGCTGGCTCTGTCGCTGGCTGCGCCGTGTCTGGCCGTGGGAGGCTGGCCGAGGAGGTTGCGGGGGCGTCCGGGTGCTTCGCTTTCTCCTTCTCGGTCCTGTAGAGCTCGCGCAACTCGTGGTCGCAAGGGTGGTCCCACTTGCTCTCACCAGTGTCGGGGTTGAAGTAGAATCCACTGGTCCCCTTGCGTGACCATCCACCAGGCTGTGAGGAGAAGGCGAGGCCATCCTACTTGCGAATGAGCGCTCCTGCAAATTGATCACCGTGGAGGTCTGGTGTACTGGTGTTTCCCGCAAGTTGGGTATCATAGATGTCCAGTGTAGCATGTTTGTCCCAGTGAGTCGTCCTGGTGTCTCACCGGAGTGAGAGGGTTCTGCTCGCGCGAACGAATCGCTCATCGCACGCGCGCTGGCTGGCCTGGAGCGAACACGAACGCTGCTGATCTCATAGTGCCAGAGAGCTGGAAACACACACATGGCTGGACTTGGGACATGCGGAAGCCACGAGCTGTGCACACACTCGGAAGGGCGGTGTGAGATGTCACTAGAGGGCCATTCGCTGGAAAGCCGCCCGGCCACGGGTGCGTGCACACAGCTCTCACCCAGGCCGGCCACGTCATTGTATGCTTATTCCTGGCCTCTGTTGATCCTAATCCCTTAGATGCTCGTTCTCTGGGGACCTCCCTGGAGCCGATTGCTCCGCTCATGCGCACGACAGTCGACCGAAATACTTGAGTCGAATCTGAGTCGAATTTGAGCAGAGGTAGAATCACATATGCTTGCTTTACCCTGCGTCGTTTTGCTTTGCGTTGCTTTTCAAGTTGGCCTGCTCCTAAAGGAAAACACTGGGAGGCGGAGTGGATTCCCCGACAACGAGCCCGGCCCCCAACCACTAACGCCACTGGACCTCTGGCGCTGGGTAAGCTATCGGCGGCGAGCCCGGGGGGAAATGAGAAGGGGCGGGCCTTCTCAGAAGGCCCGGAAGTCCCCCAGCCTTCTGAGAAATGTTCTAAACCTTTCCCGCAAAGCCGAAAACTTCTCACAAGACCGGAGGGTTCTGAGAAACCCCGCTGGCTTCTGAGAAGGCCTTCTCTTTCTCACTTCCCCCCCCCTCGCTCGCCGCCGAAGCCAGCAACCCTTCGCGAGCGACTGCCGAAAGCACATGGCACATTGCCCTGCCAAGGCCGACATCCACCAAGAAGCTGGAACACACACACACACGCACACACGCACACACAAACACACACACACACACACTCACATGGCTGGATCCACGCGGCTGGAGGCTGGAACAAGCACTCGGTTGGAGACCCCCTGTTGGCTGCACGTCTGGAGGGTCCCTGCGCCAGGCCGCGCGGGGGCCGACCGCTGCTCCCGATGCACGTCCGGCCCGGCCGCCCGCAGGCCACGAGTGCACCAGAGGAGAGCAGCCCCTGGACGGCAGAAGGCTAAGCCACGGAGATATCTCGCCGTCGCTGGACTCGCAGGGCTTCCACGGCTTCGGCAGGGCGGTCTTCAGCCCCTTGCGCGCGATCCAGAACAGGTGCTGGTCCTCCTCGACGTCCATGCCCAGCCACTCCGCGTACTCGCGGATCTCGCCCTCGTTGGGCTCGTACTCGACATCCATCTTCTCCTCCAGCGTGACAACTTGTTCCGTGGCTACGTTGTCCGCACACTCGACGTCCATCTTCTCCTCTTCCCCCGCATCCTGCTCCTCGCAGGCCTCAATGCTGCTGGCGATGGACGCAAGGCTAATGTCGTCCGCCCCAGGCATCTCTGCCAGCTGCCGGTGCGCGCCAGGCTGCACGCAGCAAAACTGCGGCGCGCTCGTCCCCTCCCCCTGGCTCCCTGGCCTGGGGCCAAAGTGGCTACAACTGGGCCCGACACACCGCTCTTACAGCCAGACCTAGGACAAACCATCCTTCAGGAACATGAGACCCTCCGTCGGCTTGAACACCCCAAACCATAAGATCACTCGAGGGTACCTTCCCCCAGTATGCACAATTACCCTGCGACGTACCCAACCCTTTGTACACATGTGACGACGATACACAGGACCAACTTATGCAAACGGACACGGCAGGAACCCACGAAAATGGCGACACTTGCACAATTCGAAAACACCGGGAAGCCGCGAGGTCTCGACCAGGTGCGTTTACAACTCCAATTCGCTGGGCCTCGCAGGGGCCACGGAATTGGCGACACTTGCGCACTTCGCGACCCCCGCAGGGGAGCCGCGAAATCTCGGCTGGGTGTGTTTACAACCCCATTCCCACGAACGGGGCGACAGTTGCACAATTCGCAGCCCTCCAGGGGGCCGCGAGAACTCGACTGGTTGCGCTTACAACTCCATTCCGCTGGGCCGTTCAGGAGCCCCCGAAAGCGGCGACTGTTGCGGACTTCGCGACCACCGCAGAGGAGCCGCGAAGTCTCGGCTGGGTGTGTTTACAACTCCACCCCGCTGGGTCTGTCATAAGCCAACGAAAATGGCGACGGTTGCACAATTCGCAGCCAGCCAGGGAGCCGCGAGGTCTCGGCCGGGTGCGTTTACAACTCCACTCCGCTGGGCCTCCCAGGAGCCCACGAAAACGACGACTTTTGCGCAGTTCGCACATACTGGCCCTCCCCCCACGGCGCTACCCCCCCCGCCGCAGCTGGTGACTTGCCTGAGCGGGCCCGGCTTCCTCCCCCCTTGTCGCGCCGGGGCCTGCTCCTCCTCCTCCTCCTCCTCCTCCTCCCTCGCGAACTGCGGCATCAATTTGCATTCAGGGCGCCCCCTGTCTGCAAATCCACCGGAGCAGTCGCCCTCTGCCCAGCCGCCGACGCAAAAAGTGTGTGTGTGTATGTGTATGTGTATGTGTATGTGTATGTGTATGTGTATGTGTATGTGTATGTGTGTTTGTGCTTGTGTTTGTGTTTGTGTTTGTGATTGTGTTTGTGTTTGTGTGTGTGCGTGTTTTTGTGTGTCGCATGCCGAAGGGGCAGAGTCCGAATCACAAGCGAACCGGAAACAGCCCGGCCCAACAGGCCACTGAAGCCAGAGGGGCTCTCGAGGCTCAAGGAGGCTAGAGAGTGCAGGAGCTGTCCCCAGACCGCATGAGAAAGCCAGAAGAGGCCTGCACGAGCTCAAGGGGCAACTCGGAGACCCTGCAAGCGGCCCCAAGCCCAACCCAGGCGCCGCCCCGATGGGTGGAGCCCTGCCGCAAAGGTTATCCCGTCGCCGAGCCCGCTCCCGCTCCGCGGGAGTCCTGCGCAGGTGCAGGGCAGGGACAACACCAGAGCAGGGCTTGAACAGGAGGCGGCACTGCTCCTGTGCAACACCTCCGCACCGCCTGCAGTACACAAAAGGAAGACAAAACAGAAACTCATGCCCATTCTCGATACTGGGCGACTCCAGAGCGCCAGCTCCTCGTTGCTCGGTTCGCGAACGATCTCCTCCGCCGCTTTCCACCGCGCGGCGCTCCTCGCTCCTATCCTCAACGGTAGCAGCGGCCGCGGCAGACGCACGGGCGGCCTGGCCCTCAGGGGTGTGGCCTCGGCAGCCGCCGCTGCCGCCGTCGGTGGCGGCGGCGGGCGCGGGCGCGCGAGGCGCGCGCGCGGCTCTCTGCTCATCGCACCTGCCGCTCGCGATGCCCCCCCCCCCCCCCGCCCCCCGCCTCCTCCATCCAGGGCGGGCGTGGGGGCGGCAGCGGGCGAGCCGCTGGCGGCCTCCAAGAAGGGTGCCGCAGGCGCCGAGCGTCGAACGCGCTGAGCCCCCTTCCACCGACGACGACTGGGGCGACCGACCACCCGCCCCCGCGTCGGCAGAAGGCGCCCTCCTCGGAGATCGGCTGGTCTCACGGCGGACCTCCTCAACAGCAGCGGCAGTGCGATTATCGTCGCGCTGTGAGGATCCAGCCGCTGCCGCCGCCGCCGAGAGAGCCAGGGCAATAGCGCTGGAGGAAGGGGCAGGGGCACGACTGATGACCCCCTCAGCTGCAAGGATGGCCTCAGCTCTTTGCTGCTTCACCAAAGATGGGCGGCAATGTCGGCCGGTTGCAGTCCAGACACCGCGAGTCACCACTGCACTGGAAAAGCTGTCGCGGGTTAAGGACGACACGCGGCGGTTCAGGAGGGGGCTTGGGGGCCCTGGCCTCAGGCTGGGAGTGGCTCCATAGCTCCGAGCCCAAGACCGTCGCGCCAGCCCGGGAATCTAATTTAGCGTTGGCAATGGCCTCTGAAAGGCGTGCCTCGAGGCCCTCGTGGAAGCTGGGGCTGCGGCATACAACGTGCAATTCAAAAGAAGCACAGAATTCCGCCCAAGCATGACCTGGCCAGGCGTGCGCTCCTACTCCTTAAGCCAGCACAGCTTCCAGGGACATATGTGATGGGGTCCAGGCGAAACACGGAGGGGGTCTGGCCTGCCGCTCAACCTCGCCTCGGAGCGCCCTCCAGATCTCAGAATGGCGAGAAGCGGCCATGGCCTCTCTCACGTTCCAGCTCTGGCCTTTCTGCGCAAGCGGAAGATGGCCCGACACTATTCGCACAACTTTGAGGGGCGCCGTGACGGCTTGCAGCGCAGCGTGCCTCGCTGCTCGGGGTACCGATTGAATCCCTGGCAGGCTCCCGAAACGGGGCTTGGAAGGGCGGCCTGAAGGGTCAAACCGCACCACCGCCCAAGCACACCTAGATCTGCTCGTCCTGAAACTCGGGGGTCTGGTTCTGCATCGTTTGCAGCTGCCAACGATGGACGCCCTGTCCCACCAGGTCTCGAACATCTCGCGGCGCTACCTACAACAACGAGAAATACGTGTTAGAGTCGGTGACGATCTCATGCGCCGACTGCATCGACCAGCCGATACGCATGAGGGACATCCAGGCTGCTGCCATGGGCCCGCTGACCTTGGACCAGCTGTCGGATTTGGCCATCTTGGCCCGCGTGCTCTGTCAAGCCATTTGCAAGTCATGAAGAGCACCACTGGCCTCCCATATCCACGTCGCGTACAGGAACGACACTTCTGTTGTGGCCTTGAAGATCGAGTCGTACTTGGCATTGGGCTGGAGTAACAAACCCATTGTAAGAAAAAGCCCGGGTTCCACTCCTGCCATGACTCCCGCCAGCTTTCGGATTGGCTTTAGCTCAGCAGCTCCGACTACTGCTGCCCCATGCAAGACCGCAGGGGTGAGCCCTGTCGCTTGGATCCTGGCCGTGCGTCTGCATCCCACAGCTTGCTTGAGGTTGCGCAGCTTTCTGACTCGACGCATGGGGCTGGCACATATTGCTGCCTCTCGGTCGCGCCGAGGCCTGCCTGCAGAAAGTGCGCGGCAGAGGTTCCTCATCCACTTCCGAGGTCGTATGTGGCGGCGTTGCGCTGGATCGCGCACCGCCTACTTCGCGTGTGCGTCGAAGGCGACGGGCCCCAGCTTCTTAATCTGGATGGGCAGCTTCATGTCCTCGAGTGCCGCAGTAGCTTCATCAACAGCATCTGCAACCTCCTGGGCACGCGCGCTCCTGACCAGCGGAGGGACACATCACCCGCCAATTGCCTCGGGTTCCAAGTCGGACATATAGCTGACAACCTTCTCATCGACGGGGACATGAGAACCTCGAGCGCTGCGGTGGCATGTGAACAGCCTGCAACAATACCCTGGTGAGCTGTGAAATTCGGCAATTCGCTTCGATGTGCTCGTAGTGTCCCAGGCTGAGCATAAAACTGGGTAAGCACCACCGCAACTCTCATGGAATGCCATGCTGTCTTCGCTTCACGAAGGATGACCTGAGGAGATACTAGCTCAAATCACTTCCATCATGAGCGCCACTGTCTTGCGGCTGATCGCGACGGCAAACTTGTTGTCGAGGCTGGGAGAGAACGCTGACGCCGAAGCGCTCCTGCCAGGCCCAGTTCCCCATGGGTGCGAGCTGCGATGCATTGCTGTCCCAACCGCTGATACGGGCTGTCGCACTCGGCTCCGTATTCTGATGATCGGGTCGAGGGGGCCAATCAGCCTGGTGCTTTCATCTGGTTTCAGTTTGTCGCCGCACGCTGCGAACATGAGCGACATGGCCAGCCCAGCTGGATCGGACAGGTGAATTAGCTGCCGAGGGTGGAGGCCCGACTGGCCAACAGCAGAACTCTCGGGTAACGCCAAACACGCCTTTCTTAATTCGTCGGCCGTGATGGGCCCCAGCTGCGGCCGCGCATGCGCATCTGGAGGCAACTCAGGCTCCCCTAGCCCATGATGTTGCCAGATCTCCGTCCACTGCCCAAGCTGGCGATCAGCCAGCTCGTGAGGCTGCCCCGTCTCGTGGGTTGGCGGCGCCGCAACTGGGCTGCGCTCCTTGGTGAAGCGACGCGCGCGGCCTGCGCCGCAGTCGAAGCCGCTCTTGACCCAGCCCTGCCAGGCTTTGGGGCGCTGGGCTTCTGCAGTGGCCGTCCTCGCGCTGCCCTCGTCGATGATCAGCTGCACCTGCCACTGGAAGTTTGGTTTGCCCAAGCCCGCGACACCGCTGGAAGAAAAGCTGCGCCTTCTCGTCTAGCTGCTGCAATAGGTGTTGCTGATGCAGATGCCGCTGCTGGTGGCCTGCGCCTCCTGTAGAACCTCCCAAATGGCGCGGGCGTGCCTGCGGATCTTCTCATCCGACGGGCTGGCACTCACGCCGGCAATTATGTCATAGATAGCGCCTCGCACAGACAGAAGGTGTCGGGCCCACCTGGCCACCGCAGCCCACGCCGTCGCGCCGCGCGCGCGCCGTCGAGCAGGGGCCCAACCTGCAGGCTTGTCCCGCAATGCTGGCGCCCCAGCTCTACTCACGTAGTCCTGCTTCCTGATGCCAATCAGGTCGCGGCGGTTGAGTAGCTCCTCGCCAGTGCCAGAGAGCAGGAGGCCACGGGCCTTCGTCAGGTCCTACAACGGGATCGCGGCTTCAACGCTGCGGAAGACAGGGCCCCAAGTGAC